GAACCACGTATGATTGCTATTGGGTTGGTAACTATTTAATATTATTTTCTCATCATTGACGCAGACGTTAATATAAAGTACGTTATTATACGGTTTATAATATCACTAACGAATTTAGCTGTCTTTCATGCACGTTTATTTCATTTGCTTAAACTCCTCAGGATCTACCTCGGAAGATTTTACTTTACTGCAAAAGTACTCGCGTTTGTTTCAATTGAAGTAGGTCAGGTGTTGACTTATTTGTGCTTCTTCCACGAAATATTTCGATGCATCTAAGCATTTGCAAACAAATTACTGTTTAATTTGAATTTATTAGTTTGAAATTTTATAAATAATTTTTTTCATATATTGCTCAGACATTTTTAAACGGAATTAAACTATGCAGATTATTCCGAATCTGAAGCAAGATGCACGGAATTCTTACGTTAAAAGGTGGCGAACCGTCTATCGAAAGAATTAACATAGTCTTATTATGCCGATTTAATTTACGTTCCGGAACAGTTTGAGATTTTAATTTAAAAGAGAATGTATAAAATTAGAACATATGGCGACGAAATTTAATACACTCCGTAAAATGGTAACAAAACCTATCAAATTATTAGGCATTATTATAAAAAAGTAAAGGAAACCAAGCTGTACTGGTCATGTAGGCTTTTTATTGCAAATTCGTTGCTGTTTTTTCTATAGAATTTTGCATCTTTCATTTGTGGCATTCCTTTTCGAACTTTTAAAGTTCCACTAGATGACAGGATATTGAGCGGGAAAGATTTTAAATATGTTCAGCGATTGAACAGTATTTACGCAGTGATGAAGAGCCTTACACACCTGAAGTCAGGACGTGAGAAGCAAAAGCAGAGACAGCTTGGCAGAACTGGAACTTACACAAAGAAACGACTTCCAAGTTAAAACTAATGCCCACCTCTTAAAAAAAGCAATCTGATGCACAGCTGTGAAACCCAAACGCCGACAACAGCAATTAAAAAAGCGTACTGGCAGTCGAAACGCAATTCTATTTGTATCCTCTGCTGATTTCTTCTGCAGCGTATAGGACAATGAAGGAATAGTTAGAAAGGTTGAAAACATCGCTCGCTAGCAGAAACTATTGCTAACAATCGCAGAAGTCGAAGAACTTCGGCACATTTAGCGGTCCAGTTGTTTAAAGAAAACTACTGTGCAAGGTATTGTTCAACGAAAAAAGTCAAGAGAACCTAGAAAGAACAGTTTGACTAACAACTTAAACAAGATGGGTGAAACAATAACTAACCTACTGTTAAGGCAGTGGACCGCCAGAAATATAAGAACTTTTATTTATAGAAGCAATGGTGATGATATCATCCTAAAATGAATCGTGGCATAATGACATACATGAATTCATGGTCATTTTTTTTGACATTTCTAAACGCCACTAAAATGAAATTCTGCGAACATGGCAACCGGGACAAAGGGTAAGAAGTCTGCACGGATTGGACAAGCCAAGTCAAGTCCGTGACCCAAAAATTATTAGCTAGCAGCGTGCAACAACAATACACCTTTGGCTCCAGGCGCAAAACAGTTGCGGGCCATAAAAATCATAAGGAAGGCTCGTGAGTGATGAGCCAATTCATCGATCACCTGATTGGCCAATTGATTCTTTTTCGTTTGAATAAGTAAACCATTTTATGCACTTTTCGGTGTGAACACCAGCACATGAACAAATTACTCAATCTTCGGATTTGTGTCTTCTTGGTTATAATATCATTATTTAGTTTTAAAGATTCAGTGGCTTAAATTTTACTAAGTAGTTGAATTAGGCTTAAGTGGTTTAATTAGAGCTTTCACTGCTTCCTAGACTACATAAAGATGTTACTGTAGTTTCTATTGCGAATTGTTTTTTTGCAGACATTCAGTCATTCCTCGCTAGAATATTCAGACATTTAACTAAAAAATGCAAATACTCCCAGTTTTGCTAGAGCCGAAACAGATCAAGCCCTCGGAATGAATATTGTGTTATGGACAGTCACGAAAAATATCAATGACTCATTCACTAATATTCCTGTGCTAAAAACACACTGTGCAAAACAATGGCCGAACTTCTTCTAGCCGGACTCACTTAGGAAACGTATTACCATCTCAATTAATTCTATTATAAAGACAGTAACTTTTTGCATAGTAGAAGCGACCCATTTCTCTTTCGATGGCAAATTCTTCAAACAAACCAGAGGCCTTAATGAGCAACCCACTTTCAAACATTATTGCCGATGTTTTTATGGAATATTTCGAAATGGCGACACATGATGGACCATTCGTTTGCCTTGTTTAAATAAACGTTTTTATGCATTTTTCAGTTTTCAATATTTTAAATTATTGAATTTAAAGCATGACACATTGTAATATATTAAGTTTCTAGAGTTGTTTTTATGACTTAAATGCCGCAGCAAATTGTGGGGCGCTGTTGAATAAACAGTAGGTTTCAGGAAACCATGAATTTCATAGTAGCAGACCTCTCGCATGCATAGCTGTTTTCCTATTGACTGAGCAACTACTTTCAGCTACTGAGTTCGCTATCTTGGCTTTGATTTTCGTCACAACCAGCTGGCTGTAAAGTACCTTCGATAACGCTCTGAGAAGTAATAAAACTTAAAAAATGAAAACAGTTTCATTAACTAAATTTTATTGTAGAGTATAAAAGCGGCAAATTTGCAAATGCTTCTTGGTACGCGTATTTTTGCGGTTTTCTCTTTTCGGAGGTGAATTGTGCATCAAAATTCCAATCAACAGAACTTGAAATAAGTGAATGAACGCAATTTTTCATTTGCAGAAAGGCTACAAAATTCAATGGAAGGAATGTTTCGAAAGAGAACCAAATTTCAGAAGACAAGTCAAAGGTTAATCATGTTTCGAAACGGTTTCTGTCCGGCTCATCGAATGCGTGGACGTCAGCGTGACCAGATCTCGTGATGGTCGAGTACCTTGAAGCGAGCCGTCGCCTTGGACGTGGACAGGCAGAGGCTTGTTCGAAGCGTAGGCAAAGAAGCTGGTCTTGTTCGAAAAGTAGCCGTCGTCGTCCGCGGGACGGCGTGAAAGCGACGAAACCGGCTCGGTCGAGATGGTGCTTTCGGACGAGAAGTTCTCCCACAGTTCAGCGGTACTCAGGTTGTCTTTCAATGCTGCCTCTTGCTTCTTCTTGTACTGCAAATAGTAATTCGGTGTTTCCACAAACTGGCGACTCCGAGGTTCGCTTTTGATCTCGTCATCGGAGAACAGACAGTTTTCAGTCGCGGTCAAGTTGGTCAGCGACGAGGCCGGTGCTCGCTGGGCCACTCGCAACGGCGTTCTCTGCAGGTATGGGGAAAATACTCGGCGACGGGTTTTAAACATAAACCTAATTACTATTATACTGAGGTTCCCGTTGTGTCCGTAAGCTTGAGCAGCGTCCTGAAATCAAAAATGGCATGGCTGAATCAGGAAACGAAAAGAAAATCAGCACGATAAATCAGGGGAACAGTAACGGAATGGCTTGGGCCAATCGAGCATAACAGCGGACAATCAAAGCTGAACATCAAAGCATCTATTAGACCGTAAAATGGGCTAAAAAATGCACGACATGCATGGCAGGAAAATGATAGAGCTGTTGCACTGCAATGGCACGTTCTTCGCTGGTTCTGTTGCACGTAGTCTGAATTCATGAAGTCAATGGTGGAACGCCAAACTCCATTTCCGTGCTAACAGCCAGGAATGCCATATATTTTTTAGAG